TGGGGAACATGATATTGATCAGCTGGATATGTACACACGTCAGTATGAGCTGCTAGCAAAAAAAGAATATATAAAATAATAATAGATTAGCTGATTATGCCATGTTGGCCATGATTGCCTGAACTGCTTCATGGTACATAATTTGCCACTTATGATACAACAGAGTGAGACAGGCTTCAATGTGCTCATGGAAAAGCCAATACAATGCAGGAAACTGAATCTCTTAACACCTTCAACTGAAATAATTTTGGGGGGAAGGGCTTACTTATTTGATATAAAATTCAGTTATACAGTATCAACTTCGTTCATGGGTGTGTACACACAAGTATAAAATAGGCCTGTGTGCATGTGCACACCTAAATTCTATTGAAGCTACAATACAGGTAATATTGATATTAAACACTGCAATGCTGATAATAATAATAAAATATCTAAATATAGTTCACCATGTTATCTAACAAGTTATTTTTAAAAATTACAATATTTTATCTCAAGGGAACAGATTCCACAGCAATGCTAATACAACTTAAATCACTGGTGCTGTCCTGTCTTGAGAACTGCTCAGTATTCACTTCCCCTTTCAGAGCAGGAGAGATCTCTGAATTAGAGGGAAATCAGAATTTATATGGCACACATAAAACAATAAAACATCTAAATTATTGGAACCTTCTCAGAGCTCTCAAAATGTTCTCTCTGGACAGGAGACGAGAAAGGTATCAAATAGTATATACATGGAAGATACTGGAGGGCCAGGTCTCAAATTTGCACAGTAGAATAACAACATTCTGGAGCAAAAGATACTGAAGTAAATGCAGAATAGAACTAGTGAGGAATAGAGATGCCATAGGCACAATCAGAACACTGTCTGAACATCAGGGGTTTACGGCTGTTCAATACCCACCCAGCAAGCATTAGAAATATTACCGGAACTTGTGTGGATGTCTTCAGAGGCACTCAAGTCAAGTTCTTGCAAGAAGTGCCAGACCAACCAGGCTTTAGTGGATATGTAACTGCAAGTAACAGCCTGGTGAACTACATTATCACAAGTTGAGCCTGGCCCCATGCCAGGCTCTGGGAGTCTAACTCCTGAAACCCTCTCCAGGTATGCAAGGAATACTTGTCAAAAGAAAATCCAAAGGAGTAGATTTTTAAAACCGGAATACGTTTATACTAATCTTCTGTATATACAGTAATAAATTAAAAAATTGTGCATACTGTTCATTTAACATATGAGTAATAGGAACCAAACTTAAAATCTCACAACTATCAAAAAAAAAAAATTAATGACTAACACTGCCTAATTCTATGCTTATCCAATCTCAACCAAAATAGGAGGCTTCCACTAAGGAACCCAACACGAGATGCCCTTTTTTGACGAAAAAGTTAAACACAAAATTCCTTAGTGCAAGCACTATATGCAAACATTTTTATCATCAGCCTGCATGGTAACTAGACATTACACTATGACCTGTAAAATTTAGCCATTTATATCCAGATGCTTCATATATTTATGTACCCCTTGAACTATAAAACAATTATGTATTAGGGTTATTCCAAAACTTTTGATGCAAAACAAAGGAGGAGACACTGTTCAATAAAATGAGACTGGACTGGATGCTTTCAATGTACAGTAATATGTATGGTGGGGTCCTGACAGCTGAGTGGACAGTGCTCGGGATTCGTAGTCCCGAGGTTCCGAGAGCGATCTCCTGCGGAGGCGGAAACAAACGGGCAGTTTCTGTCACCCTGATACCCCTGTTCACTTAGCAGTAAATAGGTACCTGGGAGTTAAACAGCTGCAATGGGCTGTTTCCTGGGGGTGTGTAACAAAATGGGGGCCTGGTCAAGGACCAGGCCACGGGGATGCTAAGCCCCGAAATCATCTCAAGACAACCGTTGGAAGAAATTAAAAAACCAGTGATCCGGGTACTATCACACATCCTGTACAGAATATTTGCCTGCACACCCAGCCACTGGTCTACAAATTGCAGGATATATTGCTCGTTTTTAAGAAACTTTAACAATGCATAGCATGGTCTATATTTTACCTCATTTCAGTTCCATACTACTGTATTACACAACAGATAATAATGTCTTTCTCAGGTGCTTAGTCCTGTGGGTCCTTAGAATAGCAACCATAGATCATGGATTTTTTTTTAATTTACTTCATTAAAGGTTTCAAGAACAGACCATACTGCTTCTTTTAATGAAAAATTATTTAAAATATCTGATACCATAAGAATAGTGATTATATTCCAGCGTTTCTGAACTTTTTTCACCCTTAAATTAATTCTTAGTACATTAGATAAACACATGGATTTCATTGACAACTGAAAGCAGACTATTTCCGTCTGCTCTTGATGATGGATATATAAGAAAAATTAAATCTTAAAATTACTTACAAATACATTTACATATGATCAGAATTAGCCAATTTATCACCATCTCTTGATAGTGATAGATTGTATTGCGAAACTCCTAGTTATCTTCGGGGTCCATGGACCCTAGATTAAGAAACCCCTGGATTAGGTCTGTAGAACCTAATCTGTAGTCTGTAGAACCTAAACCTAACAGCAACTAATTATTAAAAACCCTAAAATGGTATTCAATTTACAAAATACAGGTACCGTACAATGAATTAAGTATTGTCCTAAATTTTAAGACAACACTTGAAACAATTTACTTTTGCTAAAACTTAAAAACCATTTCTTAAGCTCTTAAAAGAAGAATCAAAAGGTACTTAACATGTGTTACAAAATCAAACTAAACTCTCAACTAGACTAATAAAACATAACAAATCTACCATTAAAACTGTGCAGAAAATTAAATAAGTGCAAAAATGGGATAACTATTGCAAATGTTCAAAGTGATATATACAAAACAGCATTAGTTATTAGGGTTGAACAAGATATTTACCGTGGGTACCTCCATCTTATCCAAAGTACTTATCCTCATCCTTTCCATGTGCTATACATAGTCGTAATTGCTTGGAGCTTTCTCTTGATAATTACCTTCTTACTGTATAGATAAATCTGTACTGTACTGATTTTACAGTTTGATAAAAACCTAGAAAAACACACAGTCCTGTACTATACAATACCCACGCGAGTAAAGATAGCTCCCTTCTGTTTGGTTTCTGTATATAGTACAGTACCAGTACAGTATTGTCTAATCTTTCACCCTTATTTCTTAAAATAGAGGAAAGAATGGGATGGGTTCCTGGATGGGAAAGGGTATAGGGGGGGGGGGGGGTGTTAAGGTGGGTCGCCGAAAACAGACCTTCGGCTTAAAAAGGCAGGTTAGGATCCGTCCCTGATCATACCAGAGCACTGATCCTAATACCAGAGCCTAATAACTTAGTCACTTCTATTGAAGACAGAATGGCAGTATTAATATTTTATTTAATATTGGCAGCCTTTGGACCAGCTGGGTGACAGGACACCTACAAGTCATAGATGCACCTCGACTGACTTATAAATAGTCATGTTATATGTTACATGGTGTGAATTTAGAATTTTGTGGCCTTTATAAAGCCCACATTTATGTAGAGCATTTGCACTTTTCTTTACTGATAGATTTCCAAGATTTCAGACTTATTAATTGCCAAGACCATAAGGCTAAGGTAACAGCACCGACTACCTTAGTTTTTAACCTAGAAGTACAGTACTGCACAGCATATTTTAACAATAAATTCAAGGATAGAATTCAGCTAAATTTACACATCTTTGTAAAGTGGACCATATTTTTAATGGGAGTTTATATGGATTCCTGGTACACATTCCATATGTCATGTCTACAGTGCCATATATAAATCATAAACTTGATAAGTACAGTTTTATTTGGGGGATCACACACTTAGATGAAGTTTGGTTAGACTAATTTTGGTAAAGAGATGTTGGCTGACTCATCACTGCCATTTTTTTTCAAATACACACCAAAAACAAGATTTACTTAGTGTAAATAAAGTGCAGTGGATGAAGCTGGATCCGAGGACCAATGTCTCTGTGGCTCGGTTTCTGACCAGGCCTCTTGGCTGGTGGACTGGCCAACTAGATTTACAATCTCAGCATTAATACACATTACATTATCAACCTATTGTTGTAAGTGTAATGTTTCCTCAACTAACTGGAGAATTGTCAAAACAACCTAACATACATTCAGAATTATCAAAAGAAAACACTAAACCTGTATAACCCCTAACCTAATAATTTGGTATACAATTAATATTGGCCTAGAGCCTATGGTATAATACATGAATCCAGAGCCACAAGGGGTGGTACTCATTGGTACTCATTGGATACAATATCATCAATGCCAGTTATGTTATCTAGATTTATACTACAGTAAGTACTGCCACATAGGCCTCTATCCAAATGGTGTTGCCCTCATAAATGTATCACATGCTTCAGTTTTAGGTTACAAATATGTTATTCTTGACACTACAATACTGTACCATAAAAAGTGGATGCAACCATAATACAACAGCTCCAATGTTCACACAACCACAGAACCCATAACATGTTAATACGAGGAGATAAAATGGGTGCACAATCAAGTTATAATTGGGTAGTATAAACACAAATTTGACATTTTGGTGATAATGCATTGTTGTGAAAGTCTAAGATCCGAGTTGTTTACATATGAATTTTAAGCAGTTTCATGTATTTATATATGAACCAATAATATTTTGCACATTATACAAATATATATATATATATATTATATATATATATAAATTTTTGTTTTATACTGGCCATAGATGTGGCTTAAAACCATAAATGTCTCAGAATTAAATACATCTTTCAGCACCACACGAATGTTCCTTCGCCATTATCACAATAATACACACAGTAAAACAATTTTGAGTACCTACCTTGATTTCCTAACACCAGCTGTTGCCCAAAATAAAGCAAATTGGCAGACTCACTATTCATCACCTACGTTTAAATGACATTTTGTAAAAGCATCGCCATAAAACGAAAAATTTACAGTACCATTACCTTCGGTTAACATCGTAGCGTAGCGGCTGGTCCCAAAACGAGCCAATGTACACCCGCGCGACTTCAGGAGTGGCGAGCACCTTTCCTAGAGACCACATTAGAGCACCGTATACTCTCATCAGCTGCTGATGGTCCACCATGTCAGCCTTGTTAAGTACAATACGGATTTTATCGTCGTGTCCCTTGAGCGCTTCAATGGACCGCCGGAACTCATCACTGATATCCAGTTTGTGCGCATCAAAGAGGAGAATAATTCTGTCTACCCGCTCAGCGAACCACTCTAAGACACCTGTAAACTCGTAACCTCGGTCCACCCGTTGCTTCTCCCCAGAGAGGATGCCGGGCGTGTCAATGACAGACAATCCCTTCAGCACCGTAGAGTTCACTTGTGAGCACTGGAACCGGTTGAGGAAAGCATTTCCAAACTTGGAGAGAGGTCTGAAGGGCTTCTTGGGGTCCACCACTAAGGCGTTCCCCGGGATGGTGCCATCTGTGTCTCCGTACATGACAGCAATGAAGCCATCTGTGGTGGGCTCGGGTCCAATCCTGATGCCTGGGAAGTCCCTCTCCAAGAGGTAGCGGATGAAAGTGGTCTTACCGGTCGAGTATTGCCCCACCAGCAGGATCATGGGCTTGGCATCAAAGTCTGGATCATCGAGGGCGGGGGAGTGGAAGTCGTGGAACTGGTAGTTCGACTCCAGCGGGAACACCTTCGTCTTGTACACTTTCCTCAGGCCGTCTAAGACGGTGTCGTACACGTCTAGCGACTTTTTCTTCGCCTCATCCTTGTTCATCCAGGAGAACATTGTGGTGGTGGTGCTGGCGGCGGCGGAGCCCGGGCCACGTTCGTCTGCGTGACAGCTTAACCCACTGGTGGAGATAACTGTGGACTCCGGCCTCCCCCGGAAGTTGACGTCGCCGTGTTTACCAGCACCAGCGCCATCTGCCTCCCCGACCCGCCAAGTTTAAATCCTGTTCACAACCCCGCCCTGGCACTCTCTCACACTCTCGCTCTCACACACTCGCTCTCACACACTCGCTCTCACACACTCGCTCTCACAGCCTCGCTCTAACAGCCTCGCTCTCACACACTTGCTCTCTCACACTCGCTCTCACACACCCTGGTACACTCACACTCTCGCTCTCACACACTCACTCTCATACACTTGCTCTCTCACACACTTGCTCTCACACTCGCTCTCTCACATACTCGGTCTCTCACACATTTCCTCTCACACACCCTCGCTCTCATACATGCTCGCTCTCACACCCCTCGCTCTCTCATACCCTCACTCTCACACACGCTTTCTCACACCCTCCCTCTTACACACACTCGCTCTCCCACCCTCGCTTTCACACCCTCCTATCCTCGCACACCATTAACTCGGATACAAAGCCTCTTGAATCTATCCACATCCCTCTTGTCAAGGGACGAGACTTTCCCACCAGTCGCCCAAACAGTTACTGGCCACACCCAATCGAGCTTAACCTAAAAGTCCGAGTCACGTACAAATCATTTGACTTGCAGATTTTCTGTCTGACTTACCTGGGAATTTAATAAATATCGCGCTCACGAAAGAAATAAAAAGGCTATTTCTGAATTTATTTATATGCGAGCATCCATCTCGACTGCCTAACACTTATTATAACAATTAACAGAAAGAGAAAGCATTAAATAAATAAGGTAACATTTGTTGGTAAAATAGCCTTCACTATGGCCTTTACAAATGTAATATTACATTTACCATCATAAATTATTTATATTACTTATATTACCATTATAAGTGATTGCCTTCACTTGCTAATGGTATGCTGTGAAAAACTATAGTATTTACTATGAACAATTGTTTATTTACTAAATTATACCGCTGTTAGGCTGCATTTGTGGAAACTATACATTTTAAAAATATATATATAAATAAATATATATATATAGCAATAAGTTATTGCTGAGTTTCAAGCATTCCTTAAAATCATTATTCCATTGGCCACGTTATGAAAGCGAAGTAATTTGCAATGAAGCTTTTGAGTTGCTTTTAAAAATATAATCTGAGCTATAATGATCACAGCCTCATTAGCCCACAGTCTTCCTCAGCCTCACACGAATTTGTCATCAACAATTTAATCATGGGTGCACAACATAGAGGATAAAAAATGATCTTACTTAAAACTCTATATTAAAAAAAAGTACTGCAATTTCTGACAGGCATGTCACATTAATAAAAAATATAACCTTCATAACATAGGAGCTGCCTCGTATGGGCCAATGGGCCTTCTGCAGTTACCTTTGTTCTTATGTTCTTATAATGTTTATATTTAGCTAAGAATGCCATCTGACTCACAATACATTATAAACCAAACCCTCACCAGAACATGGAGAGCTGGGAAGGAAAACTGACCCAACCAGTTAAGCAGGAACAAGATATTTGTATGTAAAAAAAAAATAAAGTTGTTTTTCAATGGGACCAACTTGGTTTATTTTATTTCTAGGACGGGTGACGACTTTTATTGTACTATTTAAACTCAGCTTCCCTTCCCCTCCTCAAGAAAATATATATATGAGCTATATATGAAAGTTTTATTAAGTCTAATTTGAGATATCAAACAACAGCATGTTGTGAAAGCTGAATGAATAGCACAATGTGAAAAGAAATATAATTTTCATGCTGCTTTGCATATAATATAATTTGATGTACTTTTATTCACTTATCTTTATATTGAATTGTTGTTACATATTGCCGGCTGTATAAAGGATTTGCCTCTTGAGAAAGAGAGGTAGGGGAAGGCATTCCTAGCCAATTGTTGTTTTAGATTCAGCTACTTTGAACAAAAAAGTTGCAAGTAGCACGGGCTATGGTGAGCCCGTAGTGGACTTACCTGGCACAGGAGCGGTGCTGTAACTTGCCCTTCTTAGCCATAGTTGTGGGGTGACTTATGAACACAATTAGTAAGTAGGGTGCACCTTTTATTTTGTAAGTCTATGATTTTCTGCGAATTTAGGTTCTTGAATAGTAGGAGGTAAGTCCTATTGATAAGCATTACCATCTTTTAAGACTTAATAATTATTACTTTTTAAGTCTTAAAAGATGGCAATGTTTATCATAGACATTTAATTAAATATCAAGGCAAAAGTGTGAAGCTTTCTGTGATATACGTAATGTTCATATTGAAAAGCCGGATCAGATTGTGCTCACAGGTGACAAATTAATCTTTACATTCATCAATTATTTTACCCAGACAAAAATAATTGCATTAAAAACTGAATTTTATTAATATTTGAAAGCATTTCTTAGACATTCAAGTTCAAGTATATTTATTGAGACAAGAAAACAATACATCTCAAAGGAATAGAGTAGCTTACGCTATTTCTACCCCTCCTTCTTAGACTTTATGATGCTAAGTAAAAATTCTCCAAATCACTTAGAAATTATTCCTTCAAATGTCGCACAAACACTTCTCCGCTATCTATATTATTACGAAATGTTATGATTACCCAACTTCCAGTAATACGTGTTTATTGACAGTCATGGGGTTCACCACTTGGGTTACTGAACATGTGACCTCTTAAGTGTGTTCTGAGTGCAGACGGTGATTACGGGTTCACCATAGCCCGTGCTACATGGAAATTTGGTTCCAGTAGCTGAATCTAAAACAACAATAGCAGACAGTGAGTTACAGTAACGTAGTTGAAGATATGATGAACACACCAGACATCAGAAGATGGAGAAACGACGGCGTTTCTGTCCGCCCTGGACCATTATCAAGTCGATTGTCCATTATTAAGTCGATTGGTTTGGTCAAGTGTGTTCTGACTTACGTGTGTGTGCTGTTTAGCTGTATTTGTGGGGTTGCTTTCCAACTCTTAGACCTTGCGTTTCAGCTTTCTTTTTTCCTTTTATGCAACTCCAGACCCTATTGCGTTTGCAGGCGATGAGTCACAATAACGTGGCTAAATTATGTTGACCAGACAACACACTAGAAGGTGAAGGGACGACCCTCTGCAGTTCGTATTCCTACTACTATCCCCTCTACTACATCTTATTTTGCTCCTCACCACTCTTGCCTATTTATTGCCTGCATCTACTTCCTCATCACAATCGACTTGAGAATGGTCCAGGACGGACCGAAACGTCGTCGTCCCTTCACCTTCTAGTGTGTGGTCTGGTCAACCTATTGCGTTTATCATATGCATTTAAAACTGTATTGAGTTAGCCTTTACTACCTGCTTCTCCGACGCATTCCGAGACTGTACTGAGTTAACCTTCACTGCGTCTGTGAAGCAATTTCACTTGCTGACGACCCTGCAAAAATTCTTACTTATAGCTCTCTGATCCGCATAAACTTTGAATTTCCACCAGTGTTGATGCCAAACATTTTGCCCTAGTTCACTTGTCCATATATCTGAGGATTTTCGCTAGTGAGGTGTCGTATAATCATTTTGACTGAAGCTAATTTTATGGTCGGGAGTTTGGTGTAAAATTTCCCCTCTATCACAAATTAATGTCGTTGTAAAAGGCCATTGTAACGTAATTGTCTGCGAGAAAATATCTGGTATGTTGTGATCAAGTCTCTACTCCTTTTTTTGTCCAGTGATGTAAAGTTAAATTACATTATTAAATTCCTCGTATCATGATCAATTTCTGGCCATATTACTGGCCAGGTTTGTCTATAGCACCAGTGTTGTCAGTGAGCTAAGAATAAAGGAATTTACCCAAGGTCTGTTGGCCCACGAGAGGCAGCTCCTGTTTACACCCAATCACACTTGTAGTGTTTCAGCTCGTGCCTGAAATTGTCCAGCGTTCGTGCCTCAGAGGCTACCAGGGAACTTGTTACACACACCAACCCTATTTACGAACCACCGTTTACCTATTTTAGTTTCTAACTGTAAACGTTTACCCATTTTAAACTTTTTTGCGAGTTCTTGAGTTGTTATTTTTCAGAACACTATTTATATACACTAAAATATATCCCTGCAGTCCAACCACTTAGGACCGGACGATAGGACGGATCGAAACGTCATTGCTTCTCGGACTTCTGAGTCGTGGTTTGGTCTTAATTCAGTGTTGCTTTACTTGTGCTTCTCGGCCTGTATGTTTACACTCAAGTGCATATTTATCTCCCATTTTTGTAGCAGTCATATTTCTTCCGTGCCAAACACTCCCAGTATTGTTTACGTGTCTATACACTTCCTGTATTGTGTCCGTGTCATACACACACACACCCTGTGTTTTCCGTGATTTTTTACTTGTCTTTTTTTTGTAATTGAGGCCCTATACGAAACCATGGACTGATTTTCCTGGGTTTTTTCCCCCGGTGTCTCTGAGGACTGCATTTCTATCAGTCACTGGTCACAGAGTCTATAATTTCCGGTGTCATTTCTCCCTCCAATTTTCTTTCCCTCTCTCTCTCTCTTTCACACATCATTTATTATGGATTGTATCTTACTTTTTGTTTTCTATAATTCCCTCTCCATATGCTAGTCTCTGTCACCTGCCTCCGTTTTTGCTATGCGATGGCCTTCGTGATCTTTAAGTGGGTCTCCCCTACTGTGCTCTCGTTTTCTATGCTCTCAATGTCGCTTCTGCTCTTTATGAATAGGCAAAATAAAAAATGTGAGTACCTAAATTTACCTGATGGCCACTATTTCTCTAGTGGCCTCGACGAGGACAGAAAGCCGGAGGCTTGTCAAAGGTCACCCATTATTTGTCCTGATGATTTGAGTTAGTTTAGTTAATTTATTATGCACCCCATACCTTCTTGTGGGCGGTAGTGGAAAGTTACAGAGGCACTTAATAGGGTCAGGGACTGAACCCCAAAATTCATTTAAATAAGCAAGTTACAATCTTGATGAGCTAGTTACAAAATTCAGTATAAGTCGTCACATCAACAATGGGT